GGTGACGAATACATTGGCGAAACGGGTAGACCCCTCTGTGTCCGCATGAAAGAACACCTAGCCGGCAAAAATAGACCAAATACCCCGCTAGGCACGCATAGGACCCAGAGACATAACGGGGACGACTTCGAAGTATGTGTCACGATCCTCGCACGCGAATCAAGAACACAGGCGCGAAAAACTCTCGAGGCTCTCTGGATTAATTCTAGAAATCCGAAAATGAACCGCAGGGAAGAATGCCTCATTATCACGCGTGATATAGGGCAGTATATAAAACTGCTTTCCTGATGTGAGGGGCACATTATACTTCCACGTGATTTCTGTGCGGTTGGTCTCTACGTGACATACTTAGTGGAAACCTCATAGAAAGCGGTGAGTGTGCAAAGCTGTGTTTAAAGTGATTGAAATCTTGGTTTGGGGTTTCTTTGCTTGGTTATGGAGGCGTCTGGCCGAGTGGATTGCTATCAACTTGACCTTTCCAGGCTCTGAGGAAGGCGAAATCCGCCGAAACGTCAGCTTAATCGTGAACAAAAAATAATAGCACCTCGCGCTTGCTCAACAAAAATACGAAGAAAACAAGAAGCACTTTATTACCAAGGAGTATGCCCGACAATTAAAAAAATTATATAAAAATGAATGAAGAAGAAACTAAAACAAAACAAAGTTTTCTTGCCGATAGTAAGAGGATGAGAGTGATCCAAAGAAACAGGCGATTTTCCTGCTAGTACTCTCAGATAACCACCTCTAAGAAAACTATTCAATTTTACTCCATGCTTTGTGTATACTGTTGCTTTAAAGGCTTATTTTTTTCACTCAAACTATAAATTCTATGGTACTGTATATCCTGGATAAATACGTGTGGCGCAGTGGTTGGAGGCGCCAGTGCGACACGCACGTGGAATCGATCCTCGCGCCCATGGCCCACAAAGCCTTCCATCCTTCCGTGGTGGGCAAATTGGTACCGGACTTGACCGGAAGTATAGCAGCACTGGCTCGATACATCGACAACCCACTGTGAGTCATTGAGAAGGGCAGATATGCATTCAATCACCTCCAAACGATGCCTGATGAAGTCAAATGCATGGCGAATCCCTCAGGGATTGATCAATGCTGAGAGCTTTATCCCTTATTTATCCTTTAATGTATATTCTAAAACACGTTCGCTTTTTTGTAAAGGATAAAACTGCTAACTAGCGTTCCGGCTTGTCAATTTTAATTTGGTGAAATAATTTGAGGGAGCATCAAGTGCCCTTGAGTTATGATCTTATCATATTGTAGACATTATCGGTCTCTCCTGACAGCAAACCTTTTAGTAATTTTGCCTTCATCAACGATGCCTGGCAAAGATTATATCAGCCAGTGACGGTCATCCGTGAATATTTCGAACTTCATTAGTACTATCAAAAGCATAGTAGTGAAGATTTTCGGCTGAAACTAGGACGACAAAGCAGGAATAAAAGGCATGAGCGCTCAGTACTTTTGATATACTTTTAATTACTACTCAAAAAATAGTAGAAAAACATTACCTCATAATCACATGTCACCTACTAAAGTAGAACCACCCTCCACAAAAAATGTGGTGTACATCGTGTCTTTCGATCAAGCAGAGTCCACTGTGCACATCTTACGTGCGTGTGTAATGGGCACTAATACAATTTTTTGGTGCCTGCTCAAGTTATTCGGTGAATTACCGAACTACACACGAACGAGAAGACAATGGACATATTTTTAACCAAGCAGCATACCATTCTAAGGAAAAGTTATTTGAGGCCCTCACGTTTAGACAGACCGTTAGCGTATTATGCGAAAACCTGTTTTCCTCTTAACGAACAGAAATGAACTGGAACATTTATCACTAAACCGTGGCCTCATGCACAAAGCAAATATGATATATTCCTCACACGGACAAGTGATTTTCGATCCAAATCACTTTTCAATTTCGAAATTCGTTGGCATCCTAATATAGACAACTGAAAGAGCGCCATCTTCGATCCTTGTTATGCTGTTCAATGTATGCCTTTTAATGTCAGCACTATGCCAAATGAAAAGTGCACTTCTTGTAGTGGGAATTTTCGCATTTTAATTGGAAGAAAGAATATCCCAGAGTTGCTTGATGCTATGACAATCACTAGAAGTCGGTTGTGCGAGTGCAAATTCAGTGCACGATGGGCTGCTGATGACGTGCGTGGTACTGTACAAACGGTGGTGATTGACACCTGCCAAATTTGTTAAGTAATCAAACCCCTCCTTGACTCAATTTCAGGTTTCTGCATTCCACTTCCACAAAACATTTAATAGCTTTCCGCTCTCTACTGCTTATTTCAAAGATTTGACTCGCTGACCAAATTTTTTTTTTTAAATTTTAATGACCGCATCTGAATACTATACCATTGGCTCAGTGCTTTTATAATAATTATTTTTAGAAGCATTTATAATTTACTTTATACCCTGATCACTTTCCCGTTATTTCGCAAACAGCTTTTCCTTTATATCGCTCGTTCAGCAAACTTCGCTAAATTGAGTACAACGCAAAATGGATTTACTGCCTTTGCGCCAAGGTTCCATTGTCGACTGCTGACTAGAAAATTTAGAATCTTTACTTTTTTATTTGAAATATAACCGATGTTGTCATCAGAGGCACGCTTTCAGCAACTGCTCACTGCTTCTGTGTTCAGCATGAGGTGTGCTGCTGGAGTGCACATGCAAGCGTCGCGGCAGCGTACCGCAATCCCAGCAAAACAAGAATACAGACGACTTACTCCATCACTTAGGATGTCGTGAATACATTTACTTTCTTATTTCTGTAAGAAATTACAGAAAAAAAAGATGTTACAGGTCGGAATTCACGAAGAATCCCGTCAGTGTCGGCGCTGTCAGCTCCGACGTCGTCGAACCTGCTCGCGTGGTCCGAGCAACGATTGGTTCTCGACGAAAGTACGTCTCACCGTTTTCCATATTAAGTGGCTCAATCTCAATTTTCATCATACCTTGCTTTACTCTTAAAAGACGCCTACATCGTTTTCCTCCTTTGTTTATAGACGACGCCGATTATTAGGGAATTACTTCACAACACTCCAATTCTGTTTCATTGCTACACATCTGATACATTTCTAGAAATTTTTCGGATGTTCCAAAAATTCTAAAAGTTGTCGAAAGGAAACGGAAAACTTCTCGGAGGACAGAGCCTGTGGTATATTCAGTTTCGAGTCCCACTGAACGTCAGTGCAGATAATCGATATTACCATTTACTGATGAGCATACAACGAAGTTGTGAAAGTTTCTGCAGTAAATGTTCATAAACAATAATTGCTCTGACCTATAATCTGATGTCACTTAAGGCCGGTCTCGCCAAGAAATGAATAGGAAGCTGTTGTAGACAGCTCGAAACAATTACTACTTTTATTTACCAAAATTCCTAGGAAGTAGCTACTTATTCGGTTCTTGAACACATGCGAATTTTTGGTGAATCGTGAGCTGGTCTCTTATCAAGTGGGGCACTGGTACAACCAAAGATAATCCGAAATCATTGCTCAGCAAAAGATAATCCGAAATCATTGCTCAGCAAAAGATAATCCAAAATCATTGCTCAGCAAAAGATAATCCAAAATCGTTGCTCAGCAATACCTACAATGACTTTTGGTAGACTGCGGATAGAATTGCAGATATATTTTGCTTTTAGCTTCAGCTGTAACAGCTTTTGGTATTCTCGCACGTTTGCGAAACCTACAATTTTATAGATGTTCTCGTCAAATTTCACTGAATAGAATAAATTCCGCCCTGAAATCCTTAGCATTATCTATATAAATCATTGATTCCAATCAACACAGTTTGTCGTAGCACTCATTTCCCGGAAAGCTTTCTATCATACGTGTGCGGTAGCACGAGAAGCTCCGTCACCACGCCTCCCTTCACTTTTTCGACCTCTCTGGTTCGTGCACACACCAGCGGAAGACACCGTCATCATTTCATCGACGACATTTCCAACTTTGCACTTATTATTCTCGCGCTTTTTTCAAACAGAGCAATGAAAATTTTAGTTCGATTCGTTTATCTAAAAAATAGCTGATTAAAGTTTTTCGATTTATGAGCCTTTAAATTTCTGTACGATTGAGCTGACACAAAAATGGTACAACGAATTTCATTCGGCTAGCCTTTCAGCGCGTTCTCTGTTGTCAAGGGCGCGTTGATCTGAGTCGATGGTCCACAGATTGACATATGAGTGCATCTTTCAAAACATTACTGCTTTCAACACTGGCTCTTCGGTTGACAATGACCACCTAAAATGCATTCCTGGTAGTAAATTGTGTTTGTTTACGACTTTTTTCAACTTTCGGAGCATTTAGTTCACGTTTTGCACTTAATGAACTCTAAAGCTAAGTCCAGCTCGTTTTCTTAAATTGGAATAGATGTAGGGTGAAATTTGTGCTCAAGCTGTGCATTTCGATGCAACCGCATGGACAGTCGAGTAATTTTGCTCTATACTCATGAATCCTCCATTAGTTCATTGATTCTTCGGAACGGAGAAGTTGCTTGATTTCTACCGACTAGAGCGCAATACTTTTCCGTAAGCGTAACATCTTAAAGTGCCCATTCCTCGGTTCCAAATTCCTGACTCCTTGTTTTTTTATAGAACACCATGAAAATGGTTGAACTGAGAACAATCGCCAAGGTTGTGAACATTATTGAGAAATGTTTTATATGAAAGCAATTTGCTGAGTTGTCCTTCGAGACTAAAGTTGATTTGTTTGCAATCTCTTATGATGAGAAACACCGGAGCGAAAAATTTTGCACATGATTCCAGAACGATAACTTTAATAATGGTTAGTAAATGCATATAGATTAAACAGCCTTCTTATCTATTCGAAAGGATAAGGTTAAGAGCATCAACATAATGATAGACTTCGATGATGGTGATATTTTATGATAATTCGGGCATCTAATCTCCTCTTCAGATATCACAAGGCCGACTGTTCGAGAACACACCTGTATTTGGAATTTTGTGGGCGTTGTGTTATAACCATGAGTTATAACATAGACACAAACTTCTCTAATAGTTTTAAAAATCTTGTCTGAAGTACGGTATATCAATTTTACGCACAGCAAATCAAATCCAGGGTTATGGAAAATATATGGCTGAAGAGAGAAATTTTTCTAAAAGATGAGGAGACTAAAATGTTAACCATGAATAGCCCCAATTTTTTTTTGCTATGTAAGTCTTATTTAATCACAATATTTACCTAAGACTAGACAAGTAGGGTTTTTAATGAATATGTATAATCCTGTTGTTATTTGAACTTTTGAATAGAAAAGAGGAGGGAGAAAGGGGTGGAACCAGAAATTTGCATCAGCCATTACATTTTCATTATTAAGTAAACGCGGTAAACTTCTTTACTTTTCTTTAGCTTTCTTGTCTCCTTTCCTTTGCCGTTTATACTTGGTGAAAACAAAATTGTAGAGAGCATTTGAATCTGGTCAACATAACTAGCAAGTGATTTCCCGAACCAAAACTGATTATGTAGGTGTCGTAGTTGATTTATATGATGAGCTCCCTCTGTCTTCTGCGTCGCATTGGCTTGTGTGTTTTGAATTTGAAAAGATCCTATATGGTTGATTGAATGGTGCACGTCATTTCGAAGAAATGTCTACAATGTAAGTAAGACTTGTAAGTACATGTGAGGTAGGCAGGAGTGGATAGGAGCTGCATCCAACAAATTAGCCTCACCTTCTCTGAAAATCCAAATTTGAACTTTTTCTTCGCGGTATTATTCTTGCGAACAGGCACTATCTTCCTAAGAACAGTAAAAATGATAAATAGTAAAAGTAAAAAATGATAATCTTAACCCTTTTATTTACTGCCTTTTTTTCTTTTTAATGGCAGGGTATGTTGCGAAATATAACTCGTATATAATGCTGAGATATTTGCAAAACTCTGAACCTCAGGTGTATGCGGGGAAAAATGTTATATACGAGTTATATTTCGCAACATACCTTGCCATTAAAAAGAAAAAAAGGCAGTAAATAAAAGGGTTAAGATTGTGATTATAACTAAGCCTCAGCTTAACTGGGTTCACTGCCGATTTGGGCTCCACAGATCAATCTCGTTGACGGGTGATTGCTGATGGCAAAAGATGAATAGAACTAGCTGAGAGACAGGCAAAGCGAAGGAACCGTATGGTGTGGTGGTGAAGTGCACTACTCCACGGGAAGGACAACAGTGCGCGTTCGTTCCCCACCGCATACACCTGAGGTCCGGAATTTTGCAAATATCTCAGCATTATATAAAAAATGATAATTTATACAAAATTTATGGTGCTCGTTGTGGTTTACGAACCTGTAGAGTTTAGTGCAAAGCTTTTAACGCTTAAGTCGACGAATGAAAATGTTTGTGGTACCTGTCAAAGCTGTTTGCGGTTGTTGCTATCGAAAATGATTGTTTTGATGGATTTACATCCTAGTTGACTTCCATGCCATTAACACCACATTTAAATGCTCTAATTGTCGTTAGGATTAGATTTAAACCTTAAGAAATAGTGCTGGACTTTTGATCTAAGCTTTTATAACGACCTATGTGAACGTCTACTCTGCAATGTAGGTTTACTACGAAACGACTTTTGCTACTTGTCTACATAACAAGCTATGACTCTCAGCTGGCAAGTAATTCCAGCTGCAGAATCACAAAGGACGATTGCATCCGACAAAGTTCAAAACTCCTCAAATTAACAATCTCATGACATAGCCTAAAGGTGCCGGAATATAAACACCAGAATGTGATTTGATGGTGGTTAAAGAAACCATAAAGACGGGAAATAATTTAACCTGGCTTACTTCTGTGGCTACAAATGAAGTGCAACAAATTTACTGGCGGATATGAGGAACAGACGTTTATAGCCGCGAAACGACAGAAATTGAGATGGAAGATGTTTGCACAGTTCACTACTTCGCAGTAATGAAATCGATGATAAAACTCGTTTCCACCATCTGTGTTATTTTCCTGCTTATATGATTTCTAGAATAATCAGTTTTTTTCCTTTTTGATAATTGCACTCGTTTTTTAATTTCTCAAAACGAATTGATTTTAGCTCATTTTGTTTACTGACAATAATAAACGAGACAATTCTATGCGTATGCGTTTCTTGGTGTTTCCTGTGATTTCAATGTTTAAATCGAAGTACGGTATTAATTTGCCTTGCTCTGTGCTCTCAAGAAGCTCTTTAATGCCAGCAGGCTCCACTTCACAGGCGTAATCCACTCTGTCGAAAACAACGCCTATTCCGCATTTCGTTGACATCATCAAAGGAGTCGGAATATCGGGGTTTCGAATTCAATCCCTTCCATAACTCTAATTCACCGCATAACGAGTATATGAGCGCCGATCTAAAGCTCTACATATGTCAAGAGTGCAATTACAGGTAGTTAGCTAATCAATCATTTATGTCATAATGCTGTGGGATCAGTATGTTGTACATAAATCCTTAAGGTATGAGAGATCTTATACCAAAACAATTGAAAATTCGTGAAGTGAAGTAAAAATAAGCAACAAACTACAGTTTTTTCGATTTGTAGCAAAGACGTCATTATCCTACCTACTGGTAGTTTCCAGGCGTCGCTCGTTCTGTAAAGACGAAAGCCCACGCAGCGGATTACTTCCGAATCATACGCTGGAAGGAAATCGAAGCCGCAGTGATTACGGGATCGTTACAAACGTTCAGCGATTAGAAGAACAACTGTAAGTTTCTGTTAGAGGGTATCGAACGTTCAATAGTGTGCTCATTGGCTTTGTTTACTGGAAAGAGTCAATTGGTAACAGATGTTCTTTCACTGAGGTATTTTGCTGCTTATCATTACAAGTACTATGTAGCTTTCGTTTTCGACTTTTTTTTTCTGTTTAAAAAACCAAGATGGAGAGCAACATGCCTACTCTCCAGTGGAAATCAGATAGCCTCTTGTCTTACGCCGCTCATCTTTGCAATGCTGTCAAACGAATTCTCACAAATTAGCAAACATTCCGACTTCGGTCATGTGTGCTATTGTGTGTTTAATATTCGATGCTGCTCTTATTTCAAAAACTCGTTATGAAAGCGAAAAAAGTGGATGTGAGGACTCAGTCCGCAAAAACCTAATCAGTAGGTTGAAATTAAAATATTGAAAAAGCAGAAACAATTAAGCCAACGTGCATATCAATCGGGTCATATCATTCCAAGGATTAAGAACCACATTTGCAAAACTGATCACTAGTCGTTGGCATTACTACTTTTGAAATAAGCTATAGTTCATTGGTGCAATTAGGTAGAGAACAGCTCTTCAACGAGAAACAAGGTCCACTGAAATACTCTGAGTGGTTTTTTTCCGACATCGCTTTACCATGTTTCCTGAGCAACTCTCTAACCTTTGAAAGTATTTTGTTTAAGTGAAAATGCTCCAACATGCTAAAATATTCGACATTTTTACGTTTCATAAGCTTTGTTTGTTTCTTTACGACTGTGCTACGTTCGGAGTTTCACGCTACATAGAAATCTGCCCTAATTATTAGCGGCGTATTACGGCATCTATCCTCACTCATGCCGAGTTTGTTAGCCGGTCTACAGCTGTGTCTAAGCAGTTGTTCTCATTTCTTTTATGTTTTAGGCATTTTTTGTTGTTTATTTGTATTACAACCGTCTTATTGTTGTAGAGAAAACTGGCGTCGTGTTTTTCGCCATACAATCGATTTAATGAAACGACTACCAAAAATGGCTTACTTCAGAGTAATTCACTTCTTGTTTTTTTCGCAGCAGTTTTCTGGGTTAAGAACTGGAAACCAACAATTTACGTCTATTAGTTTTTTTTTCTTCGATAGGCCGGTTGACTTGTACCAATTTCTTGGAGAGTTAACGAAAGAATTTCTCTTTCTTTATATCTGAGACTGCAGGAATCTCGACGATTTCTAGCGCTATTTAGTCGGTGAGGGCATTTTGCACTTTCGAACTGCTTAGTATGTAAACTTCAAAAGTGACCATCGTTCACATTGAGTGGCATGAAAGGATAAACCTCTCGGCGTTGATCAATCCCTTTAGGGATTCGCCATGCATTCGACTTCATTAAGCATCATTTCGAGGTGATTGAATGCATATGTGGCCTATATAATGACTCGTGGTGGCCCACCGATTTATCGGGCCAGCGCTGCCATCCCCCCAGGCAAGTCTGGTACCAATCTGCCGCCCCAGAAGGATGAAAAGCTTGGTGGGTTATGGACGTGCGGATCGATTCCACGAGTGTGTTGTAGGGCGCCTCCGACCACTGTGTCACGCGAGCCTCTCATTGAGCGGTAATTATTTAAGAACTGTTCTCTTAATCTTTACTTGGTGCCCTTGTTTATTTTTCCACTTTCAATTTGAGTTATGCACACCATTTTGAAGAAATGCAGAATGCGTCTGGTCTTAAGTTTGCCATTTCATCATGTTCTAATCGCTTTTCAGTGTTAAAATTTCAGAAAATTGAGCGACTATGGTTTACTCTCACCCATTGCGATACCGTTCACGCTAGCAGATACCTCGAAGCCACCTCCATCTATACGCACTTCAACGGTGAAACACATTGATTGCACTAAATGGAAGGTAGTTCTAACTTACTCCTAACTCGTAATTCTAACGAGCTCTTGTTGCTCACTTTCATAGAGCTATTTGAAATTAAGGCGTTCATAAATGGAAGCTAATATTACGCGTCCTCTTTCATCCCTAAGAATGCAGCTTAGAACGAAAAAGTTATTATCTCCTCTATGTCCTTCATTTATCGACAAGCACTACTGGTAACGTTGCATCCCCTAAGATACTTCGCGTGTTTAGAAAACGGGTTAATCAAGCTTTCAAACCTATGCGTTCAAATTATTATATTGATTGCTAATATTGTCTTGTGTTACTTTGGCAGTAAATAATCTTTCCGTATAAGAATAATAGCTCTATTATAAGAAGACATCGTTCACAAGAAATCAGTTAGCAGTTCTCATTTCGATTACTGGAAGCTTCTGTTGGTTGCTTTGAGACAGGAGCCATTTACGTGCTACGCGACTGTGTCTAATTCAAATTCCAATATGCAAGAAGATCTCCTCATATCCAATCGAATTCACATCTATACATTATTTTTGAAGTTTCGCAGTTTTTGATATAGTTGCAAATATTTCATTAAAAACAGAAAAAAGATCGTGTTTGTTAAGAACTCATTGTTTGTTCCGTCACTCTTTTCATGGTGATTTGAATTGTTATCTTTTAAACAACGGTAACCTTGTGAAGCAATCCAGTCGTATCTATAGGTGAACGAAGTTTTTCTTTGTTTTGTAAAGACAAAAGCTTTTCTACAGTTGAAGAATGCACATAAAAATTTTTTCAAAGTTATCCTGTAATAATCTTAACGTTTTATATTTGCTGCCTACTATAACTATATCAATAGACAGAACTAATAACAGATGAACTGTGTTCAAAAAATTATTGGAAAAGCATTAACCTTTGTGAAGATAAACAGAGAAATAAAACATGAACTTGAAAAAAGAAATAAATGACGACGTTTTGACAAGGAACATTACCTTCACCCGCTGACGGGTGAATGCTGATGGCAGAGATCTATAGATCTAGCTGAGAGACACGCGAAACGAAGGAACCGCGTGGTGTGGTGGTGAACGCGTTACTCTCCGGAAAGGACAATAGCGCGTTCGTTCCCCACCGCAGACACCTGCGGTCCGGAGTTTTGCCACTATCTCAGCATTATCTTAGTTGCATCCTGTAATAATTTTATTTGGTAGCAATTTCTTTTTCTGTGCTGATGTATCATATACTTTTGGTGTTGCCCGGCACTAAGCTTTCAAATAGCCAAAATAGCCAAAAAATTTGTTCCATCAGGGTCACCAAGTCACCTCTGTGTCTCCGAGCAAACAGCTCACACGGAATACGTAAGGATACTTAGCAAACTACTAAATCTGTTAACAGTGACGCGATGCCGCGACCTTAGTGCGAGTCGTATAATGTAAAAATAGTAGCCTCTTTCAATTGAAATTAACATTTCTTAGCTCTTTCTGCCTAGAGAGTGAAGTTCTCTCATTTTGTCAAGGTGAAAATCCGATTTTCTAGAGCCGATAACAAATGTTTTTCGCTTTTTATCCTCGAAGCTCTTATTTCGAACACGAAAGCAGATGAAGAAGAGAGATTTCATACAGAAGGATGCGAGACTATTTTCTAATGTATCGCCTATGCTTCTTTCCAACTGCTGCTTTTTGCGCTTTGAAGTCTTAAGAACTTAAATTTCGTTATCAGTTTTTTGAAGATTTTAGTTATAAGCACTTTCGAATTTTAAGAAGACACTGTACAAAACTTGTACATACGATTAATGGGGTAAAACGTGGCCCGTTCCATAAATTCGTGGATTTCTAAACCCCTGAAGCACTTTAGTGACTGAGAAATAACCACCAGTTGTCGAGCATCGGTTTCGTTGCGGTAGGACTAAATAGGTGATTGAATGTCATGAATCCAGGGAAGCAAACTATTTTAACTCGTCCATAGTTACAAAAAACACTTAGTTTTGCCATTTTGTAGATAATCAAATTGCCTGTTCATTTTTATGGAGCAAACAAACTACGTCGCCTCGACATTTTCCATCTTCTCACTAGTTTACGAAAGCACATTTGTTTATAATGTCAAGCCTGACGTTTTGCCGTTGATCACCAATGGATAGAAAAACTTTGTGACAGAAATTATGCTACAGTATAGAAACGACGCACTAATTTTATATTATTAGTAAATCCTAATGCTCAACAATAGTGGTCAGTGGAGTGGTTTAGTTGTGTTGATACATTTTTTTCTTCTGTAGCCCATCAGATCCGGAAATCACCTAAATAAGTGAACATATTGCTAAGACATTGAGTTCTCCTTCGAAGATCTTTGATATGTTAAACTAAAGTGAGAAGATCTACCAAACGTTTTCCAGCTATGTTACGCTCTAGCTTGGCGAAAAAGATATCGTTATTTATTTGGTGGATTAAGTAGAAAGAGACCAGCATCTTTTGGGAGATTGGTAAAAATATTACTACTTTCTAGCTTATCTGAAAGTTTGGGAATTGATTGCTTAGATGTTTGGCTTTTATTTGCTGCCGATTATTACTTCATGGCAAAGTACCATTATGATGCAGAGATATTCGCAAAACTTAACCCCAGACCAACTTCGAACCCGCGACTACCCTAGTCGGCGGAACTCAGGCTACCCACTGCTCATCCGAGGCCCTTGCTTTACTTTTCTCTCAGCCAGTTTTTTACCCTGACGATGCTATCAGCAATCACCTGTCAACGGGACGATATAGCGAGCACAAATCGGAATTGCACATGAGTCCTCAACAGGGTAAACACGGGTTCGATGCTAGTCTGGCGTCCGAGTTTTGCAAATATCACAATAATATTGTGAATCCTTAAAATTTTCAGAGTCAATTTCACCAGAGATTTTCGACGTGGAGTAAGAAAAACGAGCTTGTGCTAGATGAAGTCCATCCTGTGATAGCTCTGGCAACACCCACTGAAGCAGTTACTGCTAGAACCATAAACCGAAATCTTCCGAAATCGAAATCCATTACGTTCTTTGTGCCGACCACGGAAAGGTCACCAATTTCAGCACGGCGCCTATACGTGAGTGTTCCGTTCGCTTGTTAGATGATTTTTTGTAACTTGTTTGTCATAGCCGAAGCTCACATTGAAAGCAAATAATGGACTATGTCATGAGCGTTGCATGGAGAGATTTTGCAAATCGATGCAAACTGACACTACCATCGCGGAACAAGTCTCATGAGATCTGCCTTCACTAAATGTTCGGCCGGTTATTTAATGAAAATAGGCGAGAATAGTTGATTCCTATGTACAGCGATGGGTGCTGTACAGCATATTAATCCAGTAGGCTTGTACGAACACAATGATTTCATTGAAAAAGAAGCTGGCTTATTTTTCCCTTGTCGATTAGAACCGCTGGGAAGTAGTTCACTAATTCAACTCTCACAAATGCTTTTTTAGTTGAATGTCCAATTTATGTTGTTTATCTAAGTTTGATATGTTTTAGTTCAAAAACATCAATGGTGTTCCTGGGTGTCGGACTGCGGTGTTCAGCTGGGGACTCATCACCTGGCAGGGTCTCCCAAGCTGAGAAGGTCCGGTGTTTCTATCAGGAAGTCTAGCTAAGAGTAAACCAATACCAGGATCTACCACCGTCCTGATATCAAAGTCGCATGGTGGTAAATCTCTCTCTGATCCACAAAGGCTGCGAGTGCCTGTGGTGGTGAAGACCTGGGGCGGACTTTGGGCAGGCTGACCTCGGGACTCCAGGAAACCATAGTAGCTTAGCCAGCAAATCTCTCAGAAGTGTAGATTACGATGGGTCCCACACAACCACTGAAGACGGTTTATTCAAGTATCAAGTAAATAGTGCATTAATGAGAATTTTAACAATGCGAAAATAGAGCGAGGTTAAAACGGAGGAGATCATACCACAAACCAAGGTAGTCTGTCTCTTAATTGTTTACCGAGAAAACAGAACCTTAATTCTTTTACTTACCATGCGTCGTAATTTAAGTAAGTCAAACTACCTGACAGTTTGCACCTGCATTATTACTAATCAAATGTGAGCAAAAGTAAAATTTCTGGAAAAGGAGCTTGATCCTAGGCAATAGTTGCAAGGCATGTTATTAAATCAAGTTTCAGGAAAGCACAAGAAAAACCACATTTCAGAATTATAGGAGTTCTTACTTATTTCCTTAGTTGGACATTTGGAGGGTCCGGTTTTAGGAGATGAAAGGGCACCAGCACAATTTCCATTCGTTTCTTCGCCTCGCAATCGTCGTCTATGGTGAGGGATGCGAGTGTCATACCATGATCTGTAAAACAACTACAGCTGTGACTACAGATGTTTGACTTTAGTTAAGAACACAATCGCTCAAGGTGTAGTTGGTCGTCTTAGAGGACGCCTACATCACCATGGAGCCTGCTCCTCCGTTCCCTTTTCCCATCTTTCATTTGTTCTTTTTCCTGTGTGACCAGCTCCTCCATTTTTCGCTATCGATGTGTGTTCTCGTGGGTCACTACGTTGAGGCAGATTTTGAAAGACACAGCTTCCCACTCCGGCTAGATGTTGTGTGTACCGTTTGTATTTCGGAAGACGTTTCTCAAGCTCTCTATGAGTAGTGAAAAGTATTCTTGACGTGGTTGAAGTGTTAACCCACGTTTCTGCCGAACAGCGGACCGTTGCTAGGACTTTTGATTCAAGAAGTGAGCGTGAATTTTTGAGTCCTTAATTGCTCGGTGCATTCTGCGAGAGCGCCAAATGCGGCCCGAGATGCTCTGCTTCCTCAGTCTAATTTCTTCTTCATGTTATCCTCCATGTCCATTAAACGATCAACGTATACGTACGTGGAGTGATTTGTAATTAGAGAACCATCAAGTTACACCTGCTTGCATTTACATCATGGGTTTTTCATGAGCTCTGTCTTCTTCCGATTTATGCGTAGTCCGATCTTTTTATCCCACTTTGTTGAGCTCATTAATAACCGTCTTTGGTACTCCGGCGCCTTTTGAGAAGATGACGATGTCCTCGACGAAATGAAGAGTTGATAGGAATTTTCCAACAATAAGTGTGTTTTTCTCATCCCAATCGAGTGACTTCATTATCCACTCCAGTGCGGCACTGAACAGCTATGAAGGTATGATATCGCCTTTTCGAATCTTTTTTCGGTTTCCATAACAGTCTGCTAGTGTTCCAATAAAGGTCAGATTCTTTTTCGATTAGCGCTGTGAGAGATTATAGGAGGCACTAGGTTCGACAGTGTCAAAGGCTTCTTTACAGCCGACGAAAGCCAGGACTAAAGGTGTGTTCACGACAAGCCTCTATAATCCTGGCCACGGTTTGGATGTAGCTCATGCAGCAAAATCCCTATTAAAATCCTGTTTGATCAACTGGTTACGCTTCATCTAGTGTCTTCCACATGTGCAATGAGATAACCTTCGTGAACATTTTGCAGAGTACATTTAACAAGTATCTCAGATAGTTACGATTATCGCTTTGTCCATCTTTCTTGAGCAGGATAACAGAGCGCAATATCCTAATCTGTTGGGATTTCTGTCTTTTGGAGTATGATATGATTTGCGAGAACTACATGTAAACTGTGTCTTCCGGCTCTATTGAGAGGGAAGAATTCCGCGTGGTTTTTTCCGGCGGAGATTTTAGCGTACGAGACAGGGATTTGGGGCGGGGAAAGTGGGTGTTCCTCTTTTCGCTTGCTAATTCCGTATCTTGGCAGGAAGGATTAATGATCCCACCTTTGTTCATCAATGCTGAAAGCAGAACATTGTACTCGCGCAAGTTCCAGCGGCATTTTTTCAGGCTAGTTATTCTTTGTGCAGTTTCTAACAGTTTTTTCTCCTTATATTTATTACTAATCGTGTTGCACGGGTTGCAGTTGAATCAAGCTTCCATCTTTCTTTCTTTTCGAGCAACTGCTTAGTGGTAGCAGAGATGTGATCTGATCTTCTTGCTTGATAAACTAAAGCGAATTTGGCGAATCTTCCTCATTCCTCCAATCACATTTGGATAGGATCTCATTAGGATGTTTTCGTCATATACAACTAAACTGTTTCTTCGTAGTCGATGGTGTGAATTCTTTTCCAACTTGTGGCTGAATTGAATCTTTGCGCTAACAGGGCGGCGATCACACGCAGTAGAGATTGATATAACTACCAATGTATCAAGTGAACGCCATCTTTCCTTTGCCAGAAAGTGGTCGAGAGTCACACCGTTAAGAGTCTTTCATGTTCACCTGCCGCTTTCTTTTTTTTAAAAATCGAATTTCCATGGAAGAAGCATGGGGTAGACGAGGCTCCTGGCAATGCGGTTCCACTTCTTATTTCTTTCTCCAAATCCAAACTTTTCTACTCTACATTCTCTTTTTTGGCTTTTCCTATTCTGGCGTTGAAGTCCCCGGCAACAAATTTACAATATAATTTATCTTTGTGCATAACTTCCACCAACTGGTAATAGAAGGCATCTAGCAATTCCCAAGACCGCCTTTCTATTAACCTCGGCATTGATTGATAATTCACCGTTTATCTTCTATAAGAAGATGGGAGGTTGGTATTATAGAATTTATTAGCATGCAATATCTGAAGTTTCGGCGGTTTCGCCTTCTTCAGAACCTGCAAAGGTCAAATTAACATGCGATTTACTCAACCAAACACTTTCGCAACCCTAGGACACACAAATTCGCTTTCGCATAATAAACAACTTTATTTAAACACCAACAGTTTGTTTATTCGTTTCAAGTGTTTCAATTAGTTGGTGGAGAACAGGCGCAATGAGTAGTACATGGGCGGGAAGTGTGCCTGGGTCAGATAATGGATCAGCCTGAGGTAAGGCGCGAGGTCACACGTGGTAACAACACTCCTCCTTGCGGTTCACTTTTGGGTTTTTGGAATAAATCCAAAACGTGTCAAGAGTTTTGTGCGGTGAAGTTTTGGATTCCTCTGCGAAGATAGTGATTTCTACTTCAACATCTTCTCCGTTGTGTTTCTGCGTCCTATGCGCGCCTAGTGGAGCGTTTGGTTTCAATTTAAATTCACCAAGTAGATGTTCTTTTAAGCGGATGAGAAGCGGTTTTTCCGTTTCTCTAATGTATTCGTTCCCACACGCTTTACAAGTGATTATGGACACCGTACCTGATCTCATGCAATCACCGTCTCCACCGTTAGGGCAAATTGTCCAGTTTTTCGTTGTACGCGAACGGTCCTATAGACATTTCGAGACCGACCTTCCCTAAACCTCGGTGTGACAAATCAATATGTATTCTTTCTTGATAAGCTTGCACGAGGTTGTGCTAGCTGATAACACACCGACCTCTGCACGATGTGCGCAATGATGTATGTCCGGAAGAAATACAAGTTGTTACCACCGGACATTGTCATTATATATCTACCAACAGCATCGTGTATAAAAGGGCATCACTGAGTGAGGATGCCTCATTCGAGAAGATGGCTCGCTGAGGAAGGTCTGGCTCGACACGAAGGCGAAGACGCAACGTCGAGGCGAACAACAAGCATGGACCATCGACTCGGATCACCGGCTATGAGGAAGACGAAGACGTCGAAACGTTAGCCGAAAACAAATATATTTATCAACCTCGTGCAAGCTTATCAAGAAAGAATACGTATTGGTCCTATAGACAATTACGAACTGGCTGCCGTCTTAGTGTCAAGTGGAATTTCTATCACTCTTACGAAATTCTTTAGACCAGCCCTTCTTAAGCAGCATTTTATCGCTGCACATATTCCGTTTTGAATAAAGGGCAAGATGAACGGAGCCTTGTTTTCGCTACAATTATCGTTCTGGGGCGTGCATTTCCCTCTTTGCCTATACTAAGAGCCTACAATTTCGTAGCCATTTGAAATAGCTATTTGGCGTGCCAATTTCAAGGATTCATTCTTCTGCTCTCTACCTGTGCACGCGCTGGTGGCAGTTCGAAACATATTTCTTACAAACGCCCTTTTGCTGTGTGAAGCTTGAGAGGAGAGGTAATGAGCCATATATTCTTGCTACTTGGCTTTCGATACTATTTTGTAATGTAGCCGTTTTCGGACAGGTTGATTTGAACGTTTAGAAATGGAAGCCAGTTTTCTTTCGGTTTCTCACGGGTGAATTTTATGTACTCTGACTATTCGTTCAATAACTCAAAGCATTTGTTCATCTCTTTTTGTGTGGAGCAAAAGATAAAACACTCATCTATATACCTACAGTAAAGTAATGACCTGAGATCGATTACTGGTGCTTCCACTTTAGCCATAAAGGCAACGACAAGGGTTGGTGCGAGTCGCTGTCCCATTGCTAACCCTCTAATTTGTGCGTAATATTTCCCGAACCATCTGAAGATCTAGCAGTTTATGCAGACCTTTAAGAAGACCGTAAGCTGCTGAATCGAAAAGCCATACATGTTAATTGCTCCTTCGTGTTGCTCAAGAAACTCGCCGACCGCTTGCATTTCGGAGTCATTCGACACGTTTGTAAAGGGCGGTAACGTCGAACGACTCCACAACGTACGCGCTTTTGGGACGTGCGTTGCGCAGACGGTCTAGGAACATTTGGGTGTTCGTGAGATGGGCTAGTATGTGCTTAAACACCTGGTTGAGGATTAGGTTTATAAACCAAGCGATTCTATCGTAGGCCCATCTACACAACTGATCATGGGTCTAACTTTAAAGGTGGAGGGTCGGTAGACGCGAGATCACCAGCGGATATTAACTTATGAGTTTTGGTGAGTAAGTACAAGACGGAAAATGTCGGCACTTCGATCTTAAGATGCGAAGTGTCTGCTGGTTTTAAACATGCTACGCATGCAATTTTGACCCATTCTTTGTTCAGCTTTCGATCTTGACTTGTGAATTCCTTTTCAATTGATGCGCGATGAAGAGGTGCGACTTCAAGATGTTTTTCCGTTATATCGACATCTAACTAGCGAGCAATTACTACAAACTCTCTACCCTTGTCACTAACTGATAGTCTAATAATCTTTGACTTTGTTAGCTTTCGAACCTGTCGCATATTAGATTTTGCACAGCTGTAAGCTTGGAACTAAACTTTCTCACTCGATAGTGGTTAAGGACTTTGAGAGTTTCGTTCTAAAACATGCGAACTTTAATGTTTACTTCGTCGTTATGGTCTTGCTGTCTAAAGAATGATCGAGAAAAAGGAGGTAATGGTAATGCTTCTACTTGTCGTCGTTCGTTTTTATTTCGTGTTTCTATTCTAGCGTTGCTGCGAAGTCGGTCTTGGAGCTGGTGCAGGCTGTATGTGATCCTACGCTAGGTTTCTTTAAAAATGGGTTGTTCTGGTGGGAAACTTGGACTCAATCCTAATAGCGAGCGCTTCGTAGGAAGAGTTGTGATTCTTAACATGGTGACCTCTGACTTTTCAGCCACGACCACATTTTCACTGCTAGCATTTTCGTAAACGCTTTTGCTTCGCTTAATTGAAGGTCGTTTCAGCGAATGATCTATTAAATTTTGAAATTTTTTGCTTACGGCTACTTTAACATTTGATCTAAGAGAATCGCAAATCCAATTGACTCATACACTGTTTTCCTCCAAAAAGAACCCTCCAAATACTGAACACAATAAGATTCCTTCCACATGCAGTTCAATTGCGGGTACATCTTGTCTCGTTTGCATCGAAGAAAGGCACGTAGAAATCGCGTTTCGATGTCCAGTACTTGTTGGCTTGGATCTTCTTTGCCAGGCCTCATATATCGTGTAGTCGCTTTCGTTTGTTGAAGTTATGCACTGCTCGGTGTTTCAGGCAGCGGTGGAGAAAGAATATCGTTTGTCTAGCTAGACAATTTTCTGTCTTAGTGACAGGACTTCTTTTACAAGTGAGAAATATTTTGCTGGCACTTCGTGTATCAGTAGGCAAGGCCGAATTTTTATTAATTTTCTTCAGTAATCAAACACAGATCTCCCTCATGTGAGGGATCTCGAGCCGGTGAGTAGCGAGGCTACGTGGCACGTCCTCAAGTGGCGAATAGGAGGTTAATCGCGGGCCAAAAGCGACCAAATGTTTCCTTGAGAAGCAGGTGAATCCTGGGGATGAACTCCCAGTTTCTGATTCGCCGATTTGGCACGTGCTCTCTGTCTTTGCTAGGCGTATTCATGCATGCGTGTGTGGGTGCGTTCTTGCCTATGCGGAATGTATTCCACGAGTCAATACGGCCGAAAACTTGCAATCAAGTGACTGGGAAGTATGTGAGAGGAGGTTAGGAGTCGCCTCTAACAAATAAGCTCCATGTCCGATGTGGGAGCGCCTGGTAAGCTACCCGTGAGTAAACCCAGCCCCACGTTCAGAGCCCAGCAAGCTATGCGTAGGTATCAAAGAATGCTAAACACAATAAGAAAACGATCCTTATTTCCCTGTTTCCGAAAGAGCTCTCAATTTCGCAGCGTTGGGTAGAACGAGTATGGAGAAGCTGCCAAAATCTCAGGACCAATGGAAGCCGCCTAGATTTCAAAGAACTATGGTGACGATCTCTACCTACAATGCACGTACACTTGCATCCGAGTCCTCGATAGAAGATTTACTCATGCAAACAACGAGGATAAGGTACGACGTCATCGTTTTGGCCGAGACGAGAAGACGCCGGCCTTTCAACACCGTCTATGATACCGGTGTTGTCCATGAACATCGGTTTATTCGAATAACTTACAACCCGAATCGGCAAGATTGAACCAAGAAGAACGTCAGAAGAAGGCATATTTGGATTCACGGATTAGAAAGAAAGGACATGGTAAGCGGCTATATGGTTTTTTCATTATATGTTAACTCGCAATACTAAAAGCTTCACCCTCAGGGCAAGACGTGGGAGTCTTCCAATGGAGAGTACCATAACGAAATAGGCACCATAGTAAATAGGATTTGCCTAACCACTGTCGCCGTTGTCTCAAAATTTTACACGGGATAAGACCACTGTTTCCTTCGTGCAAGATTCTATTTTTCGCTGAAAGGAGAAAGAGCCGCAAAATTCAAAAACCGAAGTCCCAGAACCACCACAAACTGGGACTTATTCAATTTATTAGTCACCTGTTAGGAGGATGCTGTTGTTGATAACATCGACGAAGAACACGATCGGCTCATTCAACATCTTCACGCTAGCGCTATGAAAGAAGAAAGTTCGAAAGTGACCAAGAGGTGTCTATCTCCAGAAACACTCGAGTTGATATGCCAGCGTGGAATCATACGAGCTACAGGCAACCGCGAACTAACGTCCGAACTTGCAAAACAATGCATACAGGCGATAAAAGAAAATCTTAAAGGGAGAAGAGCAGCAGTAGTAGTCGAAGCCGCAGAAGCTGGGAAAAGTATTCGCAAATCCAACCGAAGCTTCGCCGATTGCAGGACCAAAATAATATCACTCCGAGGCCCAAACGGAACAGTTACAACGTTCAGAAAGGCAATGGAGAAAATTATTCACGAATTCTACTCGGATCTCTTCGATAGCCACGTCCACCTTCTGTCATATGAAGTAAAAAGGATGGATATGTTACACCACCGGTTCTCCTTTCCGAAATCCGACATGATATTTTGTCGGTGAAAAATTGAACAGCACAGGTCCGGTCAGGATAAGACAAGAACACCTGAAGAACCGTCCTCCGGTCCTCGTAAACACACTTGCTCGGTTCTTCGCACGTTACCTGTCTGAATGCAAGGCCCCTACTCAGTGGAAGAATAGCAAGACCGTATTGTTGTTCAAGAAGGGTGACCTACACGATATCGACAACTATAGCCCAATCTGCTTGCTGTCCGCTGTCTACAAACTTTCACTCGAGTCATCTTAAACAGGATTGACAGAACACTGGACGAAGGACAGCCATGTGAGAAAGCACGGTTTCGAAAAGTATTTAGTACAATGTACCACACCTACACTACAACAAGACTCATTGAAGTATCGCGAGAGTAAAAAAGACCACCCTTTCTCACTTTCATCGATTTACAGAAAGTCTTTGATTCAGTTGAGATAGAAGCAGTCTTGGAAGCCCTTGATAGTTAAGGAGTCCCTACTCAGTACATAACGATTCTTCGTGAATTGTACAAAAATTTCACAACCAAGATGTCGCCATTCTACAACGGTATTGACGTTAAAAGAGGAGTTAGGCGAGGCGATACCATCTCGCCAAAAATATTCACTTCCATCCTCCAGAACGTCATGAGAGCATTGGAATGAGATAATATGGCAGTGAAAATCGACGGTCGGCAGCTACACCATCTTCGCTTTGCTGA